CTCAGCAGGGCCTTGAAGGATGAATAAACTGAGCAGAGGATAAATGGGCTGTCCAGCGATGGAGGAGAGGATTGAGGAGACGGGGAGGGCAGCAGAGGTCCTGGCATGCTTTTAGAGATCTGCAGAGAAGATTCTGTTACTATCTCTTCTTCCTGTATTATTTTCTAATTGGAGTTTTCCCTGCTAGCCCTCTTGCTGCAGTGGAAGATCAGTTCTCTCTAGAAGTGGAAGGCAGTGGTTATTCCAGACTAAATGAGCTTTTGGTGTCTTTATTAAGCACCAGTATCCCTGATAATTGGATGAAGATCAGCCGATTTCTTAGGCAAAAATGGCAGGAATTCAGAGGGCTAGTTCTCGGTGAAAGTGCTTGGCTGTGTGTGACCAAAACAAGGCATTGTCTAAGATGCAAGAACCAGATCCAAGGGGTACTTATAACAGGAACATGAATGAAATAGAGAACAGATTATTAAATCAGTGCCATGGGATATATTGGATGATAACTGGAGAAAAATAAATAGAGCATCTCTTAATATGATATACTGAATAAATGTAGATAACAATTTACACATTAAAAATAAAAACTTTTAAGAAAAAAAATCCTTTATTGTATGTACTCGACAGTGCAGCTTTTGGGAGTCTCATCACAGACTTGAAGAATAAAAAGTCCTGCCCTGACTGGTGTGGCTAAGTGGGTTGGGTATCATGCTGAAAACCAAAAGGACCCCAGTTCTGGTTCCATTGTTTCCTGGGCAAGGCACATGCTTGGAGTGCAGAGCAGGTCTGCCCCTCACCCACCGCTGTCCTGCCCTTGAGAGCGTGCGAGAGACAACCAGTGGATGTTTCTCTCTCTCTCTTTCTCTCTCCCTTCCCCTCTCTCTAAAAATAAATAAATACAATTTTTTAAAAAAGAAAGAATGAAAAGCCCTGAAGCAGAGCCCAGAAATCTGCATTTTCAATGAGCTCCATAGTATTAAAAAAATCATCTATAAGTATTTCCCACATTTTCTTCTAGTAATTATATAATTTTAGGGTGGGGAAGGCATGATTCGAAGGCAGAAATCGTTAAAGAAAATATTAGTAAATAAGGCTACATGAAAATAGAAACTTTCTATTTGTTAAAAAATAAATAACTCTACCAGCCCTGGCCAGGTAGCTCAGTTGGTTAGAGTGTCACCCCTGATGCATCAAGGTTGCAGGTTGGGTACCCAGGTGGGGCACATACAAGAGGCAACCAATGAATGAATGAAAGCATAAATAAGTGGAACAACAAAGCAATGTTTCTTTCTCTCTAAAATCATTTTATTATTATATTTTATTTTATGATTTTATTTATTTATTTTTAGAGAGAAGGGAAGGATGGAGAAAAAGACGGAGAGAAACATCAATGCATGAGAGGTACATAGATTAGTTGCCTCTTGCACGCCCCCAGTTGGGGACCTGGCCTGCAACCCGGCATGGGCCCTGACTGGGAATCAGACCAGCGACCTTTCAGTTCACAGGCCAACACTTAATCCACTGAGCCACACCGACCAGGGCTAAAATCATTAAAAAAAAACAACAAACAAAACTTCCATGAGCCAAAAGTAAAAGAAAAGTGAACTAAAAAAATTTGTAAGATATATGACAAAGGGAAAAATAAAAAAAGGATATCCTTAAAATGTAATGAGTGCCCTCACTGGCATGGCTTAGTAGGTTGAGCGTTGTCCTGCAAAGTGGAGGGTTGCCGGTTCTATTCCAGGTCAGGGCACGTGCTTGGGCTGTGGATTTGTCCCTTGTGGATTTGTCCCCTGTTGGGGGCATGTGAGAGGCAACCTGACTGATGTGTCTCTCCATGCCTTTCTCCTTCCCTTTCCCTCTCTCTAAAAATAAATAAACAAAAATCTTTAAAAATGTTTTTAAGAATGTAATGAGCACTCACATATCAATAAGAATAACAAACATCCCTATAAAAGAATGGGCAAAGGGCATAAATAGGTAATTATCTTCACAAGAAATGTAAATGTCTAATGAACTATCAAAATATTATTACTAGAAGACTACTTTTCATCTCACCAGCTTTCTTCATAAAGAAAATCTGGATTATCTGTACAATTGAACATTATTTTAGCCACAAATACGAAGAAAATCTCGGTATTTCCAACAACATGAATGGACCTTGAAGGCATTATGCTAAGTGAAATAAATCAGACAGAGAAAGGCAGCTACTGTATCTCACTTATATGTGGAATCCGAAAATCCATACTGAGAGAGACAAAACATATTGGTAGTTGTCAGAGGTAGGAATTGGAAGAAGGCGAAATGGGTGAAGGCGGTTAAAAGATATGAACTTCCAGTTATAAGATAAATAAGTCCTGGGAATATATTATACAACATGTGGATGATGTTAACAGTTTTGTATTGTATATTTTAAAGATGCTAAAAGAGATCTTAAAAATTCTTATGACAAGAAAAAAACTAATGATGTAATGGATGTTAACTAAACTTACTGCAGTAATCATTTTGTAATATATTAAATCATGTTGTACACCTTAAACTAATACAATTGATATATATGACAATTATACCTCAATAAAACTGGAAAAAACATTTTAAAAATGGTGATATACTTTCTTATCAAAGATAAACAACCTTATATCCTGAACAGTGCTACTCAATAATTCTGAGAGTAAAGATCTGTCTTCCCTTAGGACAGATCTGGTTTCTGGTTATGTACCTATTTCAAAAGCTACATTTTTTTAGTTCTCCTGTACCCAAAAAAACCTCTTACACTTCAACATCTTTATCTCCCTATAACTTCATATCTATTCTCTATAATCTTAAAATATGTTATGCTCTTTAATGAAGGAGTGCAATGTTATGATTAATTAACTAAAAATTCATATTTGTATTCTGGAAGATTATAAAGGATTTACAAGATTAGATAAGGTACATGGCACACATGCTGGTACAACAAGAGCTCTTGAATTTAAAACAAATACATATATATTTTATTACTAATAAACTACTTTTCAGTTTTCCAGTTAGCAAAGGTTTTTTGTTTTTGTTTTTTAATGTAGATACCTAATGTTTATTCATTAGATTGGTTCAGCCTCTCAGCAGGGAAATTAGAATGATATTTATGGGAGGGAGTTTTGGGGGGAGGATGGGCAAAAGGTGAAAGGGATTAAGAAGTACAAATGGCCAATCATAAAAACCACCACATGGATATAAAGTACAGCACAGGGAATATAGTCAATAATATAGTAATAACTATGCATGGTGTCGGATGGGTAATACAGACTGATGGAAGGGTTCACTCCGTAGTTATATAAATGTCTAACCACTAGGCTGTATTCTTGAAACTAATATAATACTGTATGCCAGCTATAACTGAAAAATAAATTTTGAAAAATCTCAAAAAAACCCTTAGACTATTTCATAACTTTAGATTGAGAGATTGTACTTCTAAAAATTCACTTCTAGAAATAATCATGAGTGCACACAAAAATATTTCACACTATTGTCTATTGTTTCTTACAAGGAAGAACTAGAAACAAATTTCCAACAGTACATGTTTGATAAAATGCCTTATTTTAGTGGCATACTATGTAGCCATTAAAAAATAATGTAGAATATTTAATGACATGGAAAAGTGCTAACCGTATAATTTTTTTAAGTGGGGAAAAAAGCTTACAAAAACAGTTTGCAATAATCTCATTTAAAAAAAAACAACACTTTTAGAAAAATAAATATTGACATTTTAACGGGTTATCTCTGGATGGTCAAATTGCAAGTAATTATTTTCCTTTTTTTTGTGTGGCTTAATCTATATTTTCAAAGTTTTCTGCAATGCAAAAGCGTATTTCCAAGATACTAGAACTACAGTAAAATTTATTATATAAGTAAGAACAATTCATTGAGACAGTGTTTCACATAGAACTTGCCTCTTCTTGGCAATGTTATTTCCCCAGTAACTCATTTCCTTAATGTCCTTTCCCTCAGGAGGACCTCTGCAAAGGCAGGAATTCACCAAGGCCTCCTCCCACTGGGAGCATTAATGGAGGCCTGTGGTCTGCCTCTTGGTCGTGTGGAATCCAGCTTTGGGGAAACTACAAAGTAACCCAAAGTTTTGGAGGTAGAAGAAATGGCAGTTGGAAGATTTTATAGAGTCTGAGCAAGAAACTCCTTCAGAGAGGATCCAGTTTCTCCGCCCACGTTTTCCTCAAACAGAAGCTAAGGCCGACTTTCAGGGCTTGTCCAAGGCCACACAGACTTAATGACAAGATGAGGCCTTGAATCCATGGCCTTTCGGCCCTGTTGTTTCTGTAATGTGCTGATTTCGACCAGGCCTTCTCACACTTGAATGTGCACAGGAATCAGCGGGGGTCTTCTTGAAATGCAGATTTTGATCCCGCAGGTCAGACTTAGGCCTAAGAGTCTGTGTTTCTAACCACCATCTTTTAGGAGATGCAGGTGGTGCGGCCTTTGGGATCGATCACAGCAGCGATGGGTAGCAATGGGGTACTAACGGTGTAGGCCAGATTCTGCAGCCAGACCGCCGGCTTCCCAATCCTACCGCTGCCGCGGACTAATGATTGTTAGTATGCTTCAGTTTTCTTATCTGCAAAATAAATATAATACCTAAGTCACTGAGGTTTTGTGAAGATTTAATAAGTTATTGCACATCAAGTGCTCAGAAACTGTTCGCAAAGAACTTACTAGTTTTTATATTCCCTAGAGCAAGCAACGGTGAAGTAGAGTTTGACCAATGAATGAATAACTTTTGGAGAAAAGCTCTTTCCTGGGCGACTAATGTCAGAGAAGTAAGGTGGGAGGGCTTGTTGGTGGGGAAGAGGACCACTTCCAAGAAAGCTCTCTCCACAGGGTGGTCAGAAGAGCGCGGGGCAACCGGAAGCCGGCAGGCCCGCGCTCAGGCAACCAATGCGGCCGCTGGGGCGGAGGGGGTGGGGCGGTCGCCAGCCCTTTCCGTCTGGGGCGCAGCGGCCCCGCCCCTTGGAACGTGTGACGTTAGAGCATTCCACGGTTGCTACATCGTCGCGAGGGGCAGGGCGCCTGTCAGGGAAGCGGCGCGCGCTGGCGCAGGCGGGCCGGGGTTCCACCGCGCAGTGCCAGCACGAGCACCCGACCCGCACCCCGCGCTTTCCGGCCCGCCGCCTGCGTTCTGGCTCGCGAGCCCGCACTCCGGCCCTTCCCGTGCGCTGCCCAAGTATGGAGCTGCTGTGCTGTGAGGGCACCCGGCACGCGCCCCGGGCCGGGCCGGACCCGCGGCTGTTGGGGGACCAGCGAGTCCTGCAGAGCTTGCTCCGCCTGGAGGAGCGCTACGTGCCCCGCGCCTCTTACTTCCAGTGCGTGCAGAGGGAGATCAAGCCGCACATGCGGAAGATGCTGGCGTACTGGATGCTGGAGGTACCGCCTGGACTTGTCTTCCTTCCCCCGCCGGCCCTGCGTCCCGGGCTGCGGACCTCCTAGGGCCGCCCTGTTGGGATATCCTGGTCTCAGCAACAATCGGCGAGATGCTTCAGTGTCCCAGACCCCTGGGCCTGACCTTTCTTTCACTGGGCACCCTAAGCGGCCGCGTCCTTGGTGTCCCTTTTTCTTTCCCTTCCCCAACCCCGACTCTTGACTGCCAGTGGTTTGGCACCCTAACTAATTCTTTCTTCCGGCCAGGAAAGCGGGACAGGGTCCACCTTCTCCCCTCCGGCTTCTCTGGCGTCTCCTGCTTCCCTTCCCCGCCCCGTCTCCTTAGGAGAGGGCGCCTGGAAAACCCTGGGCTCGGCCGCCCCCGCCCCGAGCCGGTTCCTGTGTCTGTCGCGAGGTTCTGGCGGGGATAGGCGGTGGGGGTGGCGCGCGCGCTGTTCCGGCGGTCAGGGAAATGAAAAGTGCGGGAGGCAGAGGCAGGAGTCTCCTCCCTTCCTCTTGGGTGTGTGCGTGGGTGATGGTAATGGGGGTAAGGTCCCCCCTCTTTGGACACCCTGGATGACTCTTGGACATCACCACGGGGAAGGGGAGTCTCAGTGTTGAGTCCTTAAGTAAGGGAGCCTCTGGCTTACCCCTCGCCGCCCCCGCCCCCCGCCCCACATTGGAGGGGGGGAGGAAGCAACGCTGAGGAAGTTGGCGGGGAGGGGTAGTCACCTTGGGGAAAGAGCATCCCCCGTCTTAGTCCTTGTCACTGTAAGCATATTTTCCCCCTGCCCATTTTTTTTGCTCCCCGTCCCACTTCCCTTCAGCGCCCCTCCTTTCACCTTTAGTGTTGCTGTGCTTCCCAGGCTCCTGCCCAGAAGTGACTGTGTGTCCTCCCCCCAGGTGTGTGAGGAGCAGCGCTGTGAGGAGGAAGTCTTCCCCCTGGCCATGAACTACCTGGATCGCTACCTGTCCTGTGTCCCCACCCCCAAGGCGCAGTTGCAGCTCCTGGGGGCGGTGTGCATGCTGCTAGCCTCCAAGTTGCGGGAGACTACTCCTCTGACCATCGAAAAATTGTGCATCTACACCGACCACGCTGTCTCTCCCCGCCAGATGCGGGTGCGTGCATAACTCCTCCCACCCCCAACCTAGCCGGCCTCCTCACTTAACCGAGGAAAAGGAAAGCACCTCAGAGGCTTTTTGCCCCCTGGGGAGGGCTCAGGGCCAAAGAGGCTATATATTTGGATAAAAGATGGGGCAGTGTGCTGTGATGGTTAGAGTAGCCCCCACACCAGCCCAGGCTTAAGCTACCAGCCTGAACTAACTCCCCTTCTCCTGACCTCCAGGGGGTGCCACTCCTTGGTCTTTCCCCCAGATAGCAACAAGTCAAACTGCATGTCTACACTCACTAATACTTTGCCTCTGGGTTTACACAACCATCATGAGTTATTTATTGGCAGCAGCAGGACATGCCTGCACACCCCCACTGGAGTGGGTGAGTGGAATGTGCTTTCATGTGGGGGAGGGGGACTGCTTTGGGTGAGTCTTTATCCCAGTGTGGACTTTGTGATTGAAAAGCCTCCCAGAGCAGATTAAAGCCCAGCCCTGATTGCTCTAAGGAAGGCCAAGGAGTTTCATTCATCCCACCTTATTTCCTTCCTCTTATATCCCAGAAGAGACAGCTCCTTCCTAATCCTCACTCTGAGGAACTTGAGCAGCTGCTTCAGGCCTGGTGGAATCATCTCTCCCTTTCCCTTAGCCAAAGGCCAGAGCTGAGGGACAGACGGGGAGCTGAGCTAGCAGCTGCTTCCGATGTGATAATGATGCCCCCTCCCCTGGCCCGCCCACTCTGACCAAGGTCTTTCATAATTCTGTGGGGAGCTGCTGTCACTACTGTGGTTTGGGAAGTGGCTCCCAGGGCCTCTTGCTGGGAACTTGGGGTGGATTCTTCCGAGGTAGGGCAGGAAAGTCACCGGTTCTCTTTTCCCAAAGCCTGGAGAGGAGGTGGGGGAGCTGCTTAGATCTGGAAGAGCTTGTTGGGATGTGCAGATCATCTCCTGGGGGTCCTGGGGGAGAGGGCGGGTGAGTGGGTACCTTCCTCACCCTTGCTCTACACTGCCAAGTCTTCCTGACCCTGAGAGGAGTCTCTGGGCCCCATCTCCCTGGGAGGAGGGCAGCATGCACGCGGCTGTGATTGGCTGGCTGGGAAGCCAGGGTACTGGGGCCCCCGACTGCTGCTTGTCCAGGAACAGGATTCCTCTTCCTGCCAAGTAGCTCTCAGAGATGGGAGTAAGAGGCCGGAGTTGGGAATCTGGGAGGCCCCACAGCTCTTTGTGATGAATCTGGTAGTTTTTGGCAAGTCTGAAGGTGGAGATGGTTTCCAGGGCCAGAAAGCAACATGTTTTTGGAGGGGTTTGGGCTGGAAGGTAAAAGGGGACTTCTTTATGTGAAAAGATTGGGATGGTATGTGTGCCTTTGTGTGAGGGAAATTTTTCAGAACAGCAAAAAGTTCTCTTTCCCCGACTCCCTCTGCCTGAGCTGGGGGTGGTGCGTGCAGATGGCTTCCTAGAAGGTCAGAGTCAGAAGGGACCTCAGAGAACTTCAGTCCAAATGCTTGTGAGGCAGAGAAGGCTGAGGCCCAGAGGAGGACGGAAGGGTCCTGCCTCAGCAGCACTGAAGTGGATGAGGAGAATCTGGGTCTGCTGGCTAGCCCAGGTGGCCTTAAAGGCTGGCGATATGACGGAAGCTGCCAGCCACAGCAACTGTTCCCCTCTAGGGCTGCCAAACTTGGGCTGAGATTCTCAGGGGTGGCCTGGATACAGGGAAGGGTGGCCACCTTCCCTCTCACAGGACCCTATGCCTCCCTACAGGGTGAGCCCCACTCCAGGTTGCCTTCCAGGCAGTCACCTTTCTGTTCACTTTTGAGTTAGGAGTTTGGCCACCGAGAAAAGCACCAGGAGTAGAATGCTAGCTTTTCTGCTCAACTTCTTTTGGCTCCAGGCCAGGCTCTTTTCTGTGGGGCCCTGTGAGAGGCTTGGGGCTGATTTGGGAGGATGACACCTAGGCGGGGGCCTGGGAGAGTTTGGGTGGGGTTGCCATTTCTGCCTCAGCAAGGGGTCAAACCCATGAGTTCCTTCCTGAGATAAAACAATGAAGAAATCCTCATGTGTGCAACACAGAAATGGGGCCAGTGCTGGGAACCCCAGATGAGTGGATTGGGGCGGGGCTTTCAGTCTCTCTCTGGGACCCAGCAGGGGTATGCATGCTTGGGCAGGTGGAGATAGAGTTTGGTCTCTCAGGAATCATCCAGAACCATGCTGTTTGGGTTGGCCTCCACATCTGAGACTCAAATGGCACTAGGCACTAAGGGTTCCAGCAAAAGGGGGTGGACTGGGGTGCTATATCTCAGGACCCAACCCTAATGTCCCACCAAGGGGATGTGGGTTGGGTTGGGCAACCTCCCCTTTGAGGAACCTCAGGGCTGGTTCAGTGGCTCATGCTCACTCGTTTCTTCAAGAAGCAAAGACTTGGCTGGGATGCAGAGCTGGAGGAGAGGCTAGTGGTGATTTTTCCCTTTTACAAATTCTTGGAGCCTCAGGTTCATGGAGATGCAGGTATATCTGTTGCTGCAGTCTTTTCTTTCAATCCTGGCTTGGAGAAATGCTCAGAGCCCTGGATGAAGTTAGAAGGCTCACATTATTGGCCCCCAAAAGAACCAAACAGGATTAAAAGACAATTCATGGACAGCATGTAGTCTGGCACCTAGTAAATGATGAATAGGTGCTCAAAGCAAATGCCCAGCTTTTCTCTTCCCTGGACTCCCATTCCACAGTGCCAGTCCCTAAACCCAGAAGCAGGACAGGAGTCGACCTTCAAGTTTGAATGGGCTTCCTTCTGCTTTATTACCTTCCCTGCTTCAGCCACTGACTCCATCCTCTTTTCCAACCTCCAGGACTGGGAGGTGCTGGTCCTGGGGAAGCTCAAGTGGGACCTGGCTGCCGTGATTGCCCATGATTTCCTGGCCCTGATTCTGCACCGGCTCTCTCTGCCCAGTGACCGACAGGCCTTGGTCAAAAAGCATGCTCAGACCTTTTTGGCTCTCTGTGCCACAGGTAATTATCTCTAGGTGCATTTTTGCCAAATCAGGAAAATCAAGACTTTGAAGGGTCAGAGGTAACTAGGAGATTCTGGTTTTATATGCTTTTCAGAATTTGTGAAAATCATATCTCCTCTGAGCCCCCAGTTTCAATACAGAAAACACAGAGCTACATGGAATCTTAAGAGACTCCAGGACATATGCAGGTGGGGACTCTGAGGGCTTAGAGAGAAGCCAGGCCTCTTGACCCTAGCTTTGTTTCCACACCAGAAAGAGACTCGCTCTCCGGTTCCTGGCCAGGATCACTTAAGGACTACCCCGGACAAGTCTGCTGTTCCCCCTGACCCACTCTAGGAGAGGACCTTTCCCACCTTTCTCCCTGGCCCCTGTCTTACACTGCTCGCTGCTGGCATTTTCCAGTATGCCCCTGCTCTATTTATACTGCCTGGCATTTTCTGAGGAATAGGAAGTAAGTCCTGGCCATCAGTCTTGATGTTCCCCTTGTCTCACGGTCCTCTCTCCTTCTTTCCAAGATTATACCTTTGCCATGTACCCACCGTCTATGATCGCCACAGGCAGCATTGGGGCCGCAGTGCAAGGCCTGGGTGCCTGCTCCATATCCGGAGATGAGCTCACGGAGCTGCTGGCAGGGATCACAGGCACTGAAGTGGTGAGTGCTGGGCTGGGGGGCAGCCTGTTACTTCATGAGGCACCGCTATTCCTTGAGCCTCCAGCAGAGGGAGGCGTCCAGTTAGTCCTGGTGCCCATTGCCGATTTCACGGGCCCCGCCCTTCAGGCTTCTGTGGCCTTCCATCTCCTGCCTTGGTGTGGACAGCAAGTAGTCTTGGGTGGGTTGAAGGGTACCATTCCTGGTGCCTTTTCTGCTAAATGATGTGCAGGAGTCGGGGTGGGGGTTTGGTGTCAGATGCAGGGCTGCTCTCACACTCTCTTGCCACATCCTCTTGCCAGTTTCTGAGAATTAAAGGCTGATTCCTGGGGCTGGGCTGTGACCTAACCTCCCCAGACTTCCCAGGGTACTGGGAGGTGTCCATCCCCAGCACCTGCTACCAGATACTATGGTGGGGGTGGGGAGTGGACCTTTAGCTCCAGGGAGACCTTCCTCTACCTCACCCAGCAGTCCCTTCTCAGCGTTCCCCTTTGTTTCCAGGACTGCCTGCGGGCCTGTCAGGAGCAGATTGAAGCAGCACTCAGGGAGAGCCTCAGGGAAGCCGCCCAGACCTCCCCCAGCCCAGCACCCAAAGCCCCCAGGGGCTCCAGCAGCCAGGGGCCCAGCCAGACCAGCACTCCCACAGACGTCACAGCCATCCATCTGTAGCCCCGGAGAGGCCCCCTCTAGTGGCCACTGACAGCAGAGGAGGGGACACTGCCATCCCCTCCCTGCCTGCAGGAATGAATGACGCTGTATCCTCCACCCCCCTCCCTTCCTGCAGGAATGAACGCCGCTGTATCTGCCACAACTGATGTCTGAGGGGGCTCCTTCCTATTTTCCGTTCGCTAAATAGAGGGGGCAGGCCCTACCTATTCCTGCAGTGTGCACTAAGCAGCCCGGCCAGCCACGTTGGGTGGCTAGTCAGGCCCCTCCTTCTCCCTGGCTCTGCCCAGCTCAGCTCCTTCCCTGGCCAAGGGTGGGTCAGGCTGGTCAGAGACAAAACTGAAGTAGGTAAAATATATGCAGTAGCAATCCTTTTTGAGGCCCCTTGATCTCTGGGGCTTTCATGTTCTCAACTGCCAAAATGCCCTGGTGCCTTATAAAGGTGCTGCACCTTCTTCAGTTAATGCATTTGGATTGGGGTCTTTCTGAAGAAATTTCTGACATTGAGGGGACACAGTCTAGACAGGTCTTCTCAACACACTTTGGAGAGCCCTGCATAATCCATGCTCACAGCTGCTCCTAGAGGGAGGAGCCTGGGCCTCTGTCAGAGGTTCAAGAATCAACCAATTCCTCCTTGCTTTGCTTTCCACCCAGCTTCTCCTATGTGATTGGGGCGGTAGGGGGGGGTGTCAGTGCTGAAGGAAGTTTTAATTTATTAATTTCATTGAATACAACTCAAATTCACCTTGGCTTCTTGGATTGGATGGTGGTGTGGGTAAAGCCCTTTTCTAAACTGCATGATATATAGCAGGCAGAAATCAATGGCCTCATCAAGCCTTCACTGTAATAGGGCAGAGTGTAAATATTTTGGGCTTGTAAGCGTCAGGCTTGCCTGCCCTGCATATGGTCAGTTCTACTTTAATGGAACACATGCATTCCCAAAAACCCACACACTATGCAAAACTGCATTAATAAAACCTACAGGAGTTTATGTATGGGCTCAAGGCACAACACTCAAGGATGATTTTTAAAAAGGGTTTTATACACTAAATGAAGAAACAAATATTGGGTTGGCCAAAATGTTATTTTGTAAGATGGCTAGTAGTGCTTAGTCATCTCAACTTCATTTTAAACAATTTTATTAGACTTGTGACAGCTGTTGTATCAGTGTGCATTTTTTAAAAAACTTACCAAATTGGTGAATTTTTATGTGGCCATTTTAATATTGAAGATGGAAAAAATAAGCAACATTTTCAGCATATTATGCTTTATTATTTCAAGGTAAAAATGCAACTGGAAGGCAAAAATATTTGTGCAGGTTATGGAGAAGATGCTGTGTCTGATTGAACGTGTCAGAAATGACCTGTAAAGTTTCATGCTGGAGATTTCTCACTGGATGCTGCTCCAAGGTCAGGGAGACCAGTTGCAGTTGATAGTGATCAAATCGAGATTAACTGATTACAATCAACATTATACCACATAGGAGATAGCTGACATACTCAAAATATCCAAATCAATAAAGCTACTGGTGAAAATGAAAAAAGGCCTTATTTTATAAAAAACACCTTAAGTATGCTTGTGGAAGCAGAGGTCGGAAGGAAGTGGAAGGTGGGCTGTAACGCCAGATGTGGGTGTGACTCCCAACCCACATGTCAGAGATGCATGCATTGTGTGTATCTTGTTTGGTTCAGCTGGGTGTGGTTTTCTGATTTCACATGGTGTTTCTCACGGACAAAACTACACATAAATAAATGTGATTATTTGCCTTATGACCATATGGTCCCCAAATACATTAACTGGATTGGGAGAGATTCACATTTTTCAAAGGCAAAGAAGGGTTACAGAATTGCACTGTTACTGCAGCGTGCTAGCAGCCACAGAAAACACGTAAACAGATGGGAGTGGCTGTGTGCCAGTAAAACTATGGACAGTGATATCTGAATTTCATGTAATTCTCACCTATCACAAAAGAGTTTTAAAAAATTTCCACCCATTACAAAATGTAAAAACCAGCCTTAGTTCATAGGCCATAAGATCCTAGTTTGCCAACCTCTGGTCTGACGCTCACCAGCCAAGTTAGAAAGTGAACTTGTCTGATGGCGGCCCAGATCTGGGCCCAACCAGCATAATTCTCTGACCTGTCTGGCCTCTGTATTTCCACTTTCCTCTAGGGGCTTTCTCTAGCTCATCCATCCACAGCTGAGACACCATCTTTTGAACAACCTCCTGGTTGCTAGCATTCTCCTAAAGCATTGGGGAAAGGCAGAGACTGTGCCCCCTAGGGGCTAACGCTGGGTACAACCTGGAGAAACAAGATGGCAGAATAAGGATGGGGAGGGGTTCCTGCCTAAACTGGGTAAGAATTCACTCCTAGACAGGAACCTACAGAGTAATCCCTCCAGATTAAAGAGGGAAAGCAGAAATCTCCACTAATCACATTAAAACACAGAAGGTCAATAAATAACTAGTTTTTTATACACATCCCAGTGACGTGACACAACAGCCCGAAAGAAAAGTACTCAAAGAGGTTCCAGAGCTGAGCAGGAACAATGGCCTAGATTGGACGAGGCGGCCAGCCAGACCCTCAGTCCTCCCTGTCAGGTACTGGGGAATCACAGATACCCATGAGCCATCACTACCCAAATGTGGGTCTTCAGCTGTAAAGACTGTGTCACCTTTAGTCACCAAACAAGGATCCTGTGGTCCTCCCACGCCCCTCAGACCAGGATGAGTGACTGTCTCCTCAGTCCATGATGATGGGAACATCTTCCACATCTCGGGGTACTGCACTGTGAAGCTCACGCCTGATCTCAGGGGACAGCAGTGGATGGGGCTGCAGCCGGAGCAGTTCCAGGAGGGCCTCTTTCTGCTCTGTGGCCAGGTCTGCCTTATAGCGCTGGACCAAAGTCAGGAGACACTGGTGCCAGAGCACAGGCAGTTCGCGCTTCTCCGTCCGGAACCTCAGGAAGTGGAAGACCAGCGCGTCCAGCACCCGGTAGGGCAGTGCATACTTCTTATCCAGCAGCAGTCGCAAGAAGATGCTGTTGGCACCGCTGTATTCCATCTCGGCGATTTTCAGCATGGCCGCACTGGCAGGAAGGTGGGATTAGTAGTGGGGAAATGTTGGAGAGGCTCTGTTCCCTCTCTGCTTTTCCCCCCTTCTCCCTTGCTGGCCCCTACGATTCCTAAGAGAGCCAGCTCGGGCCACCTTCTCACCTATGCAGTCTTCATTGATCATCCTCCCTGCACTCCAGTTATCTCTGTGCTAATTCATCACAAATCTCTACTTCCGACTCAGACTGCTCGTCAGTATTCGACTAGAATATGTCCAATTATCTCAACATTTCTACCCTTAGCCTATTTTCTTCCCATATTCTCTATTCGTTCACTCAACCATTTACTGAGCACCTACCATGTGTCAGACACTCAGGCCCTATTCTTGGGGAATTCACAATCTAGTGTAAGTTCTGGTGATTCCACTGAGTAGTCATCCTCCTTCCCCACCAACACTACCTGGAGTGCAGCACCGGGATGGAGCATTTGGCGATGATGCTACCCACGATGATGGCTTCCCGGAGGGTACAGGTGCCCGACTCACACAGTGGAATCAGGATCCCTGGGGAGGGTCAGAAGGGCAGTCACCTTGAGCCCAAGGTGAGAAAAAGGAGGTATAGCAGGAAGGACCCCTGCCTACTGCAGGGACAGAGGTCCTTCCAGTCCAGCTTAATGCTTTCACCGCAGGAGCTCCAGCCCCTCCCTTCCCTAGCTGCCTCCTGGGTTCTCACCTTTAAACCAGGCCCCAGGCTTGAACAGGGCCTTCTTGAGTGCCATGTAGAGATGGAAATTTAGTCGTTTGTATTCAGCAATGTCATCTCGTACCCGGGGGAGCAGGACAAGGTTGTAGAAGCGCTGGGCCATGCGTTCCTTCAGATTAGAGGCGAAAATCCTATGGGGGGGGGGGGGGGGGTGCAGCAGCAGGGAGGTCCCAGGTCACTTGATAGTCTGGAACTGGCCCTTTAAGTCTCACTGTAAATGGTGTACGCAAGAGATTTGAGGGGTATGTGGGAGTGTGTTAGTCGTGGGCATGCGATATCCATGTCAGATTAGAGGAAACAGGAGGGGTTACAAGAGATATCCAAACAGGTGAATGGACACAGAGAGCTAGAGCACTCCCGAACTGATGATTACGCAGCTGTTCACCCTCCTCTCCCCATGATGGGTCTTCTCTACCCTTCGAGGGACCTGAGCGCACCTGGGGAGCCACAGGTTTCTGAGGTCAGTCTGACAAACCAAGGTTGTAGCCCTGTAGTTATAAGCCTCTTCCCTAGAAACTCATCACAGGAGAGTCTCCACAGGGACTTGGCCACAAAACATGAAACAGAAAAAGCTGGAAAATGATGATATAAATAAGCGCAAAAGACAGCTCTGGGGCCAAGTTAAAGTGAAATGGCAAAGGGGACAGAAACCTGACCTTTCCACACCCCAACCCTTACCTAGAGACATAAGGCCACTCGAACCCCCATCTACTCTACCTTGTGGCTTGGTACATGGCAGCAGCAGTCCAGGCCTCGGGCTCCGTGACGTAGAGGATCTGCTCCCAGTTGGAGAGTGCAGGGATGATCTTAAATGCCTTGGGCAGCTTCCCACTGCGGTACTTAGATAACACCTGGGGATGAGCGAACAAAACCACCTCTGCTGTTAACATACACTTGTATACTGCTTGCCGGGCGCTTGTCACACGTTCACCCACTCAATCCTCACAACCACCGTGTAAGAGGATGCTACTATCATCCTCATTTTCCAGACAGGGAAACTGAGACCAGAGTCGAGAAACTTACCCACGGCCCCCAAGTCACTAAGTGATAGAGCAGGACTCTGAACTCAGACACTATGACTTAATGCTGTTTCAGCCACCAGGTCTTCTGTGTATGACACGCGAGCATCCAAAATCTTAAGGAACCACTGCCCCTGTGAGAGGATTCGGGCTCTTACCTCCCGGACTCCTCTGTAGACCTCCAGGACCCGGGGGTCCAGCTGGGGCACAGGAAAGCCTGTCACCTCGGACATGACTGTCTCGACTTCCGTCTGCTTCTCAGTTAGCTTCTCCATGATGATGTCAGCCAGGGTGCGCCTGAAGTTAAGGGGGTACAGAGGGAAAGGGAGGGAAGTGGGTGGAAATGCTGTGGTCACAGTCCACACACGGTCCCTTGTGAGCTTCAATGAACCTGTCATCTTGCTAGGATATGTGACCTCAGTTCCCCTCTGGGCCTGTCCACCCAACACAGGATCGCCGCAGGGCGCAAATGACCTGAAAGTCATTCAACTTAGGATGAAACGGACAGTCGTGCGGAGGTTAAGAACCTGGACTCTGAAGTCAGTCTGCCTGGGTTTAAATCCTGGCTTTCGCACTCCTATATAACCCATACCCTGCATGGGCCATAACCTTTCCCATACTCTGTATGACCTTGGGCATGCTATTTTGCCTCTCTATGCCTCAGTTTCCTCATCTGTAAAACACGGTAATAATAACTGTACCTACCTCATAAAGTTAATGTCAGGATTAAATGAATTATTGTATGTACATAAATATGTCATGAGTGTTGCCTATTGCAGACACACCCCTCATATACTGGCAATATGCTGAGGTCTTCCCAATCACAAAACCCTGGTCTGACCTCTCAAGAATGCCAGTTTTATCTTAGTTATACACTAAGATTTCAAGTAGCTGGGTTCATTTAGAAAAAGACCAGAGCACAAACTTTCCATCACTTTACTTTAATGGAAGTAGTTCTAAGATTAACAATATTTTTCTCAGCCTCATTAAAGAGTATATCAAACATAACTTTTATTGTGATAAGCCAGAACTCTCATTACACTAAGCTTTTGGTATAAGAATGGCTTCTTCAGAATTGAGTATATTTAAAACAGCTCCTGTTTTCTGGGGGTCTCCTCAAGGCCAGGCACTGAGTACAGGACTTCCCAAATGTTATCTTACACAGTCCATGCAACACCTATGTGAGGTGTTGTTCCCCTTATTTGACATGGGAACACATACTCAGGTGAATAATGCACCCAAGGTCTCACAGCTCTCAAGTCGGGGACAAGGGTCAAACCCCAGGTGTTCCGGTGCTTTAGAGGACACTACAACATGCCTCCCAACTAAACAGCCTCTGACTGAAGAGTTCACATGGGTCTAGACCCGCTTTCTGAAGATGCCAGTGGTCACTTCTTAAGACTGTCAGGAGTCCCTGTTTCTGTAGCTTTATTCTTCTCTTCACTGCAAGCTGGAAAACCATTCCGCAAAGCTTGTCAGATGAGTGTTGGAAAGGAGTTTAAGACACTGAGAGGCTCTCTGGCGGGACAAGCACACAAGTCTAAGTACACACTCCGTGCCGTCTATTTCAGTTGCCGGGCATCAATCTGGGAAAGGAACTCATTTCTTCATTCTGTGCTCTCAAATAAACTACCACAGACCTTATCATTCAGGCTCCCCATCTTTTCACTGTATTATTAGCAATGAGAGATGCATTAACCCAAAATAGCCTAAAGAAACAAGAACATGTCATGTTAATATCACAGGGTCAGAATGAACTACTTGAGAGCCCTTATCCCAGACTCCCCTGCCCTGGGCCAAAATCCACGTTTGACCACAGGAGCTTAAATGCCTGCAAGTTTTACAGCCAGCATTTCTTATAGATGGAAATAAATTAGTGATTCTACCTGGGGGTGAATTTGCCCCCTAAGAGACATTTGTCAATGCCTGAGACATTTTCGGTTCTCGTAACTTGGGGGAAGGCCACTACTGGTGCCTAGTGGGTAGAAGTCAGGGATGCTGCTAAACATCCTACATTGCCCAGGACAGCCTCCACAAAAAAGATTTATCCAGCCCAAAATGCCAACAGTGCTAAGGCTGAAAAGTCCTGAATAAAATGAAGCTTAGGGTAGGAAAGAGATTTGGCTAAGGAGATTAAGGTTACCGCTAGGAAAACTGAGCATGCCAAGAGCAAATGCAATGGGATACATCGCCCTAGAAACATAAAAAGGTTGGGGAGCTGTTTCCCCAGGTAATCCGAGCAGCTGTAGAACAGTGGACAGAGTGGGAGGAGGTATTTTGTGTCTGTGTCATTCTCACTCAGAATGGTCCTTTGAGGACGGGTCAATTTTCTTAAGGTGGTTCTCCACAACTAGCAATGCTCAGGCCCTTCCCAAAGGTAGGAAACCAAAACTCCGCTCGGGCATATGCTTCCCTGGGGGAAGTTGCTACCAGGACCCACTACCCCAAATTCCAGGCCATGCCAGCCCTACCTGGCAGGAGGGTTTTTATTCATGAACATCTCAATGGCACGCTCATCCTCAGGATCCACGACCACCTCTGCATGGTGGCCCACCCCGGTCACTGTGGCAGCCTTCTCCAGGGTGGGCCACTCTTCATCCTCGTCATCTGATCCATCTTGCGGCACTCCTGGACCTAGAGAGGGGAGATGAAATGGATGAGAGAGGTAAACGGTGGGTGAGGGATTTAGAGGTCAATTTAACCACCATGGACAGTATAGGCCTCATGTGTGCTTGTAACAGATACAGATACATGCAGTGAGAGTGGTGCACACACTACCTTCTTGCACCGGGGGCTTACGATCTTGAGAAGGAAAATATATATATATACCAATAAAATATGCCAATGAGATAGCAATGCCAATATATCAGTTAACACACTATACTCAGTCTTCTAGCAGGAACTGTTCTAAACATTGTATATAACCATCACAACCCCAAGTAGGTCCTATTATTATACCCAGTTTCAGATAGGAATACTAAAGCACAGAAAGAAGTTAGGTAATTTGCCTGTGACAGGTCGTCTGGATCTAGACTGTGCATTCTTCATCTGTATCCTACATATGTGGTTGGGCTTGATTATATGCCAAATGAATGGTAAAGAGAGTATATACCATAGGCACTTAGAAGGTAAGTGCAGAGGCTGGGTAGGCTCTGAACAGGGAGCACAGGAGCTGGTGGAACATATTCCAAACCTGAGTTACAACACTGGCAAAAGGGCCTGGTTACGAGAGTGTCTTTTAGGCTGTAGCAAGAAATAAGGCTGGATGGGTAAAGTGAAGCCAGATTGTGGAAGGCCTTGAGGCCAGGAAGTGCAGTTCAGATTTCAATAGACCAGCCATTTGAATAACTGATTAACAGACGGCTAACAGCTGGTTGGGCATCTGGTAAGTGATGCAATACTCCAATCAAGGAGATAAAATGCTGCATGTGAACAGGTCATCAACAGAGGCAGTGTGTGATAAAAGCTAAAAGGGGCAGGGGGTGGTGCAAGTGTTTTGTTTCCACATGCTAATAACCTCCAAATCTGTACTTGCAGATAGATGTCCCTTCATTCCAGACTGTAACTCCTGCTGCCACCTGTACAGCCGCTCTTGCACGACCCACAGGCACTTCAAATGTCACATATCATCAACCAAATTCACTTTTTTCCACCTAGGTCTTACACTACTCACTGTGTTCTACATCTAAGCACACGTCACAACGATCTACCCAATGCTAAGCCAGAAGCTGGGAGGCAAGCCTGTGTCACCCCCTGCCCTCAACCCCAACATCCAATTAAATACCAAGTTCTATTCAATTCTACCTCATAGAATATCTTTCAAATCCTTCACAGCGCTAACCCTAAGATCTGCATCTTCTCTTGCCTGGATTAATTCAACAATCCCCTAACTGGTCTCCATATTCTCCAATAGTTTTCCGTTGTCCTTATGATAGCTTTAAATTCTGGGAACAGCCTCCGAGTCTTTTGCAGATTTGGCTTCTACACACCTCACCATCATTCATTAATCCACTCACTCGGCAAACAGTAAGTGCCTACTATATATGAGACACAGGTCTGGGTGCTAGAGATATATTAGTGAACAAGAGAAATCAAAACCTTTTGCCCTTATAGAGCTTTTGTTTTAGTGGGGAAAAACAAGCAATGGAACACATAATATGTTAGAAGACAAGTGCTATGACAAAAGCAATAGGGCAGAGCAGAAAAGTTGGGACTGTGGAGACAGGAGTGGGGGTGTTGCAATTTTTGGTGAAGCAGTCAGGCCTCTCTGAGGTGAAGAAATGCGGGAGTATGCCTACAGGTGCATGAGGACACAAGGAGCAACCAGAGCAAAGATTCTAACTTGCCATGTGTAAGCTTATACGGGTGGAGTGAAAAGGGGAAAGTAGAAGTTGGGACTGGCAATGAAAGCAGATCATACAGAACTTTGCAAACCACTGTAATCCTCTAGCTGTTGAGAGTGGACTGTGGGGAATATGGCACATTAACGAGGAGGCTACGGCCATAACCCAGGTGAGAGAGATCGTGGTGGGCTGCAGAGGATGGCGTTCCAAGGTGGTGAGACGTGGTATGATTCTGGATATAGTCTGAAGGTAAAGTCAACAAGATCTCCCAAAAGATCAGATGTGGAATGAGAAAGAAGTCCAAGGTTTTAGTCTGAAGCAAATGGAAAGATATCATGCAATTAACTGAAATGAGGACGATGGAGGGGCAGGTTTGGTGAGTTGGTCATTTTGGACATGTTAAATTTGAAATGTCTATTAGACTTCAAACTGGAGATGCCAAAGAGGCAACTGAAGAATCTAGGTTTCGTGGAAGAAATCAAGGCTAGAATATGAAGTTGGGAGCAGTCACCAAACAGGTGGTATTTAAACCATGGAACTGATGACAGCACCAGAGAAGTGAGTGAAGAGGTCCAAGGACTGAACTCTGTGGCACTTCAGTAAGAGGCTGGGGATCAAAGGGGAGCCAGCAAAGGATACTGAGAGGTGAAAAAATAGTAACAGGAATGTGATGTCTGAGAAGCCAAGTAAAGATATTTAGTCAGGAGATCAATGTTTTACCCTGCTAGGACAAAGGAAGGAGAGCTGACATATGGATCAAGGGAAGTAGGGAGGTCAACATTCCCACCCTAATGAGGAAATGTTGATCATTTTTTTTTACTTACTTCCTTTCCCTCTCTGGCCCCTACACAATATTGTTATTTCTGCTCAGGGCACTCCACACTCGTTTTTTCAGGTCTCAGCACAAAGGTCATGCAATTTGGGGAGGCTGACCCCCAAGATCAATACTATTGTTCTCAAAACTACCTATACTTTATCGTGGAACGTACTGTTCGCATTGTCTATTGTCTACTCTCTCCTGAACTAGACTGTAAAATCCTGAGGTCAGGAATATATCTACCGTGCTTACTTCTTTATCCAAACCTTCTGAACTCATAGCACAGTAAGAACTACGAGCAGAAGCCCGTAAGTACTTATAGAACGAATGAGTAAATACTAAAACTTGGTGGTGTGAGTATCTCTTCCTGTTGGACTAATTTCAGGGGTACCTAGAAGGCAGGGCTTAAAGCTAGAAGTGGGAGTGGAGGGCGCTCGCTATCCCAAATCCGCTCCAGGGCTGGGTCTCCCATTCCAGTACCTTTGTAAAGAAGTACTATGCCTCCCACCCTCTCTTTATCCCAAGGTATTCCCCAACACTCACCCAGCCGCGTGATGCGCTCCCGTGGCGCCGCGGGCCTGCCCCTAGTCCCATGCTCGGCCTCGAGCTCCTCCTGCTGCTGCCGAGCTTGCTGCAAAATCCGTCGGGTCAACCGGGGCCCTACATACTCTTCATCTTCCTCGGTTCCGCGACCCCGCCGCTTTTCACGGACCCCTGCCCGCACCGCGTCGCCAGCCAGAATCTGCTCGGCAAGGGGCGCGTGTTTTTCCTGACCCTTCGCTCCGCGAGCCACCTTGAATTTGGGCATTTTTCTCGAAAAAGTTGCCGGGAAAGTTCCCACGTGGGCACGGAGAACTCTTAAGTGCGCTTGTGCTGTGAACTCCCAGCTCCCAAGAGACCACACAGAGCTCACAGCGCCGCCTACCGTTCGGAGGCCAGGAGTGCCATCAGCTACGCCCTACATTCTGAGAGCTCACTGTCCTGCAGCTAGACTCCCAAATAAACTTACTGCATTTAACGTTGGCTTCTTTAAGGATTGTGGATTTCCGCCCAGGGTGTTGCAAGCCGGCTGATACCAGTAGAGGTGTCACCGAGGTGGCGCCTAGACATGCCTCTGTTCCTTGCGGCGCGTCGACTGGGCGCTCTGTTTTTACGTAATTTCCGCAGCACCTCCACCGACGCTTGGTGGAGGACTTCACTTTAGGTTCGCAGTCGGAGAGCTTGGCTTTTCAGCTGTTTGGTCCTGCAGCACTCCTTGTCCGACATCATGGGAGTGACTTGGTAGGATTGCAAGGGATTTTGTGGGGAGGGACTTGGGACCCTAAAGGGCCCTCGGAGCCTGGAGTGTACCCGCGAGAAGGGTCGGGAACAGGGTCTGCAGTCCCTCAGGAGTTTAGCATGAAAGTCCTCGGATGGTGTGGGTGAGGGGACACCTTGAGGGCTGTAACTCTCTGGGCCTGGTTCCTCGGAGGTGCGCCCTCTTCGTCCTGCGTTTTATCCTAGAATACATCAATGATAGGTACCTCCTTCCCATTTTCTTGGTATATCTTCCTGCAGGTGAGGCCGGGGGTGGAACTTTAAGGGTCAGAAATAGGATGTGCGGACTAGAGCCCATTAGTAGGCCGGGCTAGAAGGTTTTGGGGATAGGCAAGAAGGAGACAGTATCTTTTTTAGGTTCTCGCCTGCCTCTCCCTACAGCCTCTAAATGTATTTAGACCACCCTCTGTCTCGTTCTGCTGTGGCCATTTTAAAATCTTGGATATACGGGGGCGGGGGGCGGGGGAGGAAACTATTAGGAATTAGGAGATCGAGGTTCTAGGCACATCATTTCTTAAGGATCTGTTTTCTATTATGTTTTCTATACTATCCGTCCAGTTTCTATGGACTTTTTATCTCTAACATATTGTAAGTCAAGGTGGCAGGGAAAGGTATGGATCTAATGCTCTTGGAGACATTAGTTACACAATGCTAGGTTTCAGGGCTTTTTTATTTTATTTAAAAAAAAAAATATCGGTAAGCGTGAGCATTTCCAACTAGGGGATTGGAGGAGGCCAGGCTATCTGAAGTCAGTGAATATAGGCTTCTCACACAAGGGCCTGTGGAAACTCCTCCTGGCAGCTCAGGTTCTTGCAGGTTTGTCAGTGATTGCACTTTTGTTTCTTGTATTTGATATCATGGGCTGCCTCTAAGTTCTCTAGTGTAAGGGAGATGTGTGAGAGATGTGTGAGAAATGGGATAGCAAATTTGCAGCACAGAGGCTTGGAACCCTGGAAGCCCCTATTTTTTTCCCAATAGAGAAGGCAGGCAGAAGGGAAGGGCTCTCCATCTCTTAAAACTTACCAACTTTTTCACACTCCTAGGACTTCTTACCCCAGTCGCAGCATTTTAGTATGCTCTTATATTTCAAAAAAAGGCACATCATGATCATTCCTTATCAGTGCTTTTTCTCATGGAGAGTAGTGACAATTTTTAACAACAGTAAGACTCTACCATTATCGCTTCATTTGGCTGATTGTTTATGAAGTAATGCAGTGTCTCCCAAAATTCAGTCACATATAACTGGCTTTCTGATTTTTATATAAGTAACAACTGTACTGTTATTTATTAATGTTTTCTTTTAAATCCATTTCTTTTTCTTGAAGGTATTATAGCTACCTCCCTAGGGAAGCGGTCTAGTACAGTAGTTAAGGCACAGACATGGGGCTAGTTTGCCTGACTTTGCATCTTGACCATACCACACCAAGCCGTGTGACCTTGTGCAAGTTAGTCAGCCCCTCTGTTCTTCAGTTTTCTCATTTATAACAAGGGAGTAAATAATAGCACATCTTCTAGGGCTGTTGTGAGGGTTCAAAATACATTGTTAATTTATCTAAAGGCTTTTGGCCACATTCTGACACATAGTTGGGGCTTGGTGAGTGAGAATTCCCACTCTAAAGGCAAAGCCAATTTCATTCACCATAGAAAGAAATCTTGGAAGTAACATGTTTTGTTTCATTGTTTTGATTACAGTCTTGCCTCTCCCAAAGAGTACAAACTTGAGACTTTCTCTTAGATCCTAGGGCTGTTGAATACAACTTTCTGCATTGATGAAAATGTTCTATATCAGCACTATTACACTCCCCCCCAGCCACATATGGCAATTGAGCCTTCAGATTGTGGGTAGTGCAGGTGAGGCGTTGAAATTTTAATTTAATTACTTTTATTAGTTTAAATGTAAATGGCCACATGTGGCTTTTGGCTACTATACTGGACAACACACGTTGAAAGTGTTAGAGCAGCAATTTTCAACCTTCTCCATCTCATGGCACACATAAACTAATGACTAAAATTCTGTGGCGCACCAAAAGATTTACTTCTTGCCAATCTGACCAAAAAAAATAGGTATTTTTATTCATTCACACCAACCGTTATTGTTGCGTTGGCTGTTTTCATTTTTTTACTTGACGGTCTAAGGGAAAATAGGTCAGTGCCCCTGACTAAATAGTCTGGTATTGCATGTTTTAAAAATTCTTGTGGCATACCAATGTGCTTGTTGAGGCATACTAGTTGAAAATTGCTGTGTTGGAGAGTTGGGGAAAACATACTAACCCCAAATTGAGGTTTTCTTCTTGATATAGTCAGAACTGAAATAATTGTAAAGGAAATCCTTATTACATGACTCACTGTTATCAAATGTGCAGTGTTATCAACTGCTCAGTCTGCTTTTCTTGAATGTTGGCACATAAACCATGCTCGGGAAATTCTGGTATGATAGGAAGTTCACTGCATTGCTCTAAGAGTCCTGGAATCTGTGCTCTAGTTCTTAGGGGCTGGGGGGGCCTCTGTTTCCTCATCTTTAAAATAAGGGGATTGTGACTTGGCTGGTGTGGGTCAGTGGATTGAGCGCCAGCCTATGACCCTAAAGGTCACCGGTTAGATTCCTGATCAGGGCACATGCTTGCGTTGCAGGCCAGGTCCCCAACTGGGGGTGTGTGAGAGGCAACTGATAGATGTTTCTCTATCAGGTCTATGTTTCCCTCCCTCCCTCCCCGTCTCCCCGCCTCCCCATAAATAAATAAATAAATAAATAAATAAATAAATATCTTAAAATATGGGGGTCGTGGTAGATGGTCTCTAAGGTCCTGATGAGCTGTGATTCTGTGCATGATTAAGTGCCTCAGTGAGTCCACATGTGTCTGGATACTGATGATTTGGTTCTTTCCCTTCTAGTGTGTCGCAGATGCCTGTGGCTGAGGGCAAGAGTGTTCAGCAGACTGTGGAGATCCTCACCCGGAAATTGGAGATGCTCGGGGCAGAGAAGCAAGGAACATTTTGTGTGGACTGTGAGACCTACCACACGGCTGCCTCTACCCTTGGCAGCCAAGGTTAGTGAGATGGGTCTGCGGGATGGCTGCAGCCTGGCTTGGAGGTCATAGACATTCCTGTTCATTGAAATCTTTCTGCTCTTCTAAGGGTGGTACTCTTGAATGTGTGTTAGATGTGTTTCTGAATTCTTTCATTCTTGGTTCTTCATCTCTTAGACTGGGACTATGTTTTAGTCTTTTTGCACTTTGCACTTCTAAAGCAGTGTTTCTCAGAGGCTTGGTTACTAATGACATCAAAATTATCCCGGTTACTTGTTTTGTTTTTTTAATTGATTTGTGAGACACATACACCACCACCTCCATCACCACCTCCACCACCACCACCACCTCCCCATTTGTTGTTTCATTTATTTTTGCATTTATTGGTTTCTGCTTGTATGTGCCCTGACCGGAGATCAAACCTGCGAACTTGGCGTATCAGGACAACATTCTAACCAACTGAGCTGCCCTGCAGGGCTCTCATTTGGGTTACCTGTTAAAGGTGCAGTTTCCTGGCTCTCTGCTTACTGACCGACTAGTGTTGTGAGCCTTGTGATCTATATTTTCACAAGCTCCCCAGACGTTCTTTATGCACTCTAAAGTTTGGGAAAGATTGCATTAACCTCAAGTCTTTGTGTAGGCTAGAGTTTTTAGAACTTTTTGCAGAAACGCTTCCCTGTTTCCCATACCTAGACAGTGTCCGTGGCTACTTCATTAGCATAACTTTGACCAGTGAATCAACTTTTGTTCTAAATGTATTAAGAGGTGAGATGACTGGGTGGTCATGGTGGTGATGGGAAGGAGGTAAAGAAGATGTTTGAATGTGAGTTAAGGAACCTGGGTTCTGCAATAACTTTACCTTGGACAGTTACATAACACAGTGATTTAGAATCTAGATATGGCTCTGACTAGTGTGGCTCAAGTTGGTTGGGCATCGTCTCATAAGCCAAAAGGTCACGGTTCGATTCCCAGTCAGGGCACAGGCATAGATTGTGGGTTCAGCCGCCAGAGTTGGGGCACGTGTGAGAGGCAACCAGTTAATGTTTCTGTCTCTTTCCTTTCTTTCCCCCTCTCAAATAAATAACTAAACAAACAAACAAATAAATAAATAAATGAAAATAATCCTGATACGGAACCAGATAACTGAGTCCTGGCTTTGCCACACATTAACCGCAACACTTAGGTAAGCACCATAACCTGCAACTGTTTCTGTGCTGGTCACTTTACTGTTTCCCCATAGATCCATTCCCTGAACTTCCCCTGCAAACTACATTTGCCAGGCCCCGCTTTGGGTTACCTTTGGCCAGTAAGAGGCATCAGGGAAAATTAGAGGACAGCAGAAAGGGAGACCACAGTTTCTCTCTCCCTCTGCCTTGGGCAGAGTCTCCGGCTATATCTTGGTTCTAGCTCCTGCAGGGCGGCCGTTGTGCCTGGCTCTGCTTACAGCACATCCTCTCTACCTCCTTCCAGCCTTGAGGATGGTAGAGGCCCCCTAGGCTGCTAATGCTGGGTCAATCCTTTGGATGACCTCATTATTCTGTTTGATTTTTTAGTTTGTTTATCTGCTGTATTTTGTTTCCTGTATTAAATCCCCTGTGATGAAACTATCTGGTGAGGGTTCTGTTTTTGAACCCTTCTCAATACAGTTCTCTCATCTGTGAAATGAAGATAATTGTAGTACTTACCTGCTAGTGTTGTGCTAATTAAATAAATTAATACATGCAAAGCACTAGAACTGAGGTTGTCGTGTAATAAACCTTTAATAAATGGTAGCTAAGAGCTGTTACTGAGTTTCATCATCTCTAAAATTACAGTGTAACTGCAAACCATTGTTTTGCCTTTAGTAGGAAGGATGTAAGAATCAAAAGATATAATGTTTATGAAAGCATTGAAAAACCAAACATTTGTATATAGATACACTGCTTGTATGAAATCACCTGATGTGGACTCCGTTTTCCTCCTGAGCAGACTTTTATTTTCTAGGAGCTGCAGTCCAGTTGGGGAGACCATACATTTTCGACAGGCAGTGGAGTAGAACGGAAGGAACAGTAAGCTTCAGGTCCGAAGGCCTGAAGTTCAGCTCTGCTGCTTGCTGGTTCCGTGCCTTTAGATCCTTAGTTCTCACACTGACCAGCATTAGCATTACCCGGAGGGCTTGTTAACACAGGTCGCTGGGCCCCTCTCCCAGACATGCTGACTCAGTGGGTCTGGGTTTGGGGTGGGTAATTTGCATTTCCAAAAAAGCTCCCTCCCATGCGGTGCACTGCTGCTGGTCTGGGACCCATAAGCTTCATTTTCCTCATCAGTAAAAGTGGGACAGTAACAGTAGTTCTGCTTGCTTCACATGTTTGTACAGATAAGAAAGTACTTTTATTGTGATTTTAAAAATAGCATTGTCTCTAAACAACTGGGAGTACCTTTTTCCTGATTAAAGAAAAAAAACCTTAGTTGACTTTTGAAATATTTTCAAGACAGGAAGAATACCTGCAGACCTATATGAGTTGAGTATGTAATTACAGTGAGTTTGCACAAGAACAGAATGACAGATCAGCTTTGGACGTCTTTTCGAGAGTTCAAGTGTTTGAAGTGGATTTACTGGGAGGTGAAAGGCGTGAACTGGCAGCACTGTTAGGAGGGATGTGCAGGGAGGTGTGTGCAGAACCTGTTGTGTTCAGCAAGTGGCAGCGGAGTGGAGGTGTGTGTACAGGTCGCAGTGCCCCTGCTCTCCCAGCCCCCTTCTCTCTTTCCCATTGCGGCACTCTTATCGCTACCTACGTCTTCTTTCCTTCTCTGTGTGGCTGAATCCTCCCCTCTCTTTATATCCCCATCCGGGTCCTCTTTTTTCCATAGAAGTTTTTCCTGCTGACTCTTGCCTATTTTGATCTCTTCCTACCCTGAAATCTTTTCTTCCTTCCAAAAAGACTTCTGGTCTACCCTAGGTAAGCACTTTTGTTTGTTGTCTTTTTAAAAGTTTTTCATCTATCTCTAGTGAGATTGTCAGCTTCTTGAGGCCAGGACTAAGTCCTCTTCCTGTGTGCTTCTTAAGCCCTAACACAGTATTGGGAATAGTTTAAATACCTAATAAATATTTGAGATTGTGGAAGTCTATCCAGTAGCTCCTGTAATATATGAGAGAGGAATCTTGCGTTACATTTTTGCCTTCTTCCATTTCCCACTGTACCAAATACATATAATATAAAGCTTCCTTTTCTTCTTGTAGAAAATCTGTAGTAATCAATAAGAAAACTCATTTCTTAGAGACTGGAAGAGGTGAGCTGGGATGTGAAACTACATCTTTTTGTTGTTGTTTTTTGTTTTTTAGATTTTATTTATTTATTTTTAGAGAGGGGAAGGGAGGGAGAAACAAGGAGAGAAACATCAATGTGTGGTTGCTTCTCGTGCACCCTCTTGCTGGGGAGCAGGCCCGCAACCCAGGGATGTGCCCTGACTGAGAATCGAACCAGCAACCCTTTGGTTCACAGGTCAGCACTCAATCCACTGAGCCACACCAACCAGGGCAAAATTTTTTGCTTTGATTTTATTTATTTTTACTTTTAGAGAGAAGGGAAAAGAGGGAGAAAGAGAGGGAGAGTAACGTCAATGTGTGAGAGATACATTTATTGGTTGCCTTTCACAGGCCCCCAACTGGGGACCTGGCCCGCAACCCAGGCGTGTGCTGTGACTGGGAATTGAACCTGTAACCTTTTGGTTTGCAGGATGGTGCTTAATCCACTGAGCCATACCAGCCATTGAAACTAGGTCTTTTGATTCTAGAGGCTGAGTTCTTTCTGCTACAGTGCAGTGCTAGCTTCCCAAGGCGTCTGAAGTCTTACAACTGTCCAAGGCTTCACCATTGCCTTTAGAATGAAGTCCAGATTTCTTGAGGCGTGGAAGGCAAGACAGTGCAGCTTAGCTCTGGCCTACCTTCCCAGCCTCACGCTCAGGTACTCCCCTGTGCTGCGTCTCTGAGGCTACTTCTTATATTTCAAAGAGGCAGTGGCGAGGGAAGGTAGGAGTGGACAGAAAAGAGTGTCTGCTTCATTTGGCATACTGAAATGCTGTTACTTTTATTTGATTTTACTTGTTATGTAATGTAAGATTCTATTAAAAAAAACTACACATAAAGTCCCTGTGAGTTACTAATCATCATCATTAGGCATACCCATTTGTGAGCCCATCGCTCAACTTAAGAATTCAACTGTTACCAATAGTAGTGAAGTTCCCTGTGTGCCCCTCACCTTCTTCTGTAGAGCAGGTGGGTTTTACCACATGCTGCCTCACCTATTGTTCCCCAGGAAAGGCTGTTGGTAAGGGGATCCCCGCTTTCCCCTGCCCCAGGACTGCTGAGTGCCATCTGGCCTTGCTCCCTGCATTTGCCTCTATTGCAGGGTTTGCTGACGGAGGTCTTGATCTGAGTAGGATCTCTGTCCCCGCAGGTCAGACCGGGAAGCTGATGTACGTGATGCACAATTCAGAATACCCTTTGAGCTGCTTCGCCCTCTTTGAGAATGGCCCTTGTCTTATTGCCGACACCAACTTTGATGTGCTCATGGTGAAGCTCAAGGGCTTCTTCCAGAGCGCCAAGGCCAGCAAGATCGAGACCCGGGGCACCCGTTACCAGTACTGTGATTTCCTAGTGAAGGTGGGCACGGTCACGATGGGGCCCAGTGCCCGAGGCATCTCCGTGGAGGTAAGACCTTGATGAAACAGGAGCACGATGTGCAGAAGGGGCTCCTCAGCGAAGGGCTCTGCAGATTTCCACGTCCCTCTGCATGCAAACAGGCATTTGTGCCTACCTGATCCCTGTCTCAAGAGCATAGCATCTGTGCTCCCTCTCCCTGCACCTTTTAACCTTTTTAATCATTTGGGACTCTCCAGCCCAGGATGGGAATTGGAAGCTGGTAGCTAGAAAGCTTTGGAAGGCTAGCTTGCTGGAGAAGGGAAGGGGTAGTCAAGGGAGGCAGGTGAATTATGATGTGGAGGGACCGGTCACGTTTCACAAGGAGGACTGGAGCAGACCAGGAAAACTTTTGGTACAGTGAACTTTTGGGAGGTAGGCCCACATACCTCTCCTTAGTGTGCTTTAAGATGAGTCTCAAAAGTTGTGTAGCAAAGTACCTTTCTCTTTTGCCATGCTGTCCACTTTCTTTCATGGTGGAAAAGGGTGTGTGCAATGACTTCATCTTTGAGGGCGTGTGTTACGACTTTATGTTTTCGGTATATACTGAAAATGGCAAAGAGAGAGTGTGACAGTAGCCGGCTTTGGGACCAGTGAGAGTCTACAATCTACCATGTGCCCAGCACTGTCTGAGGCACAAAAAAATAAACTATGGGGCCTGGCTTTTGCAAATTTATGATTTAGTAAAAGAGCAAGGCTGAGACACATCTGTTTTTGAAGTTAGTCTCTAAGAAATGCCACGAAAGAGGCATAGGCTGCTCTGGCAGTCCAGGCCAGTGAGAGCGCTGCTGACTTGGGGGATTGTGATGCCTCCTCCAGGACTAGCATGAAGGAGGGACTTCAAGTGTAGAGACGTGGGGATAGCTAAGCATCCCTAGAAAGCATCTCCAGTGCAAAAAAAAAAAAAAAAGGCGTTAGTGGTAATTATTGCTCTCGACCTCCAGGGTCCTCAGGGGCCAAGATTTCCTCTTTTCAGCCTGGGACACACCTTGCATTGGTTACCCCCTAGAAACCCCCTGTTCGCCCTCCCCATCTCCAACTTCGCAGTCAAACACACCCCAGCTCTTTCTTTACTGTTTCTCCTTCTGGTTACCAGTGATTTCCCCCTGCTCTCTCTCCAGTGACAAATTAAGAGAGTGGAATGAAAAAGCTGAAGATGTGTATCCTTTGGCCCCTGCTACATTGGTCAGGAAATTCTTAGGGTTGGAGCCCAGGCTGGGTGTCCCTGGGGAGTAATGTTTGGTCTTGGAGAGACTTATGAGCATATTTGTCAGCTTTGCACCCTACTGATCCCCCAACTATACATACACACTTTCTCTTGCTCTTCATTTTCTTAAAATTTTCCTGAGCTTTCCTTGAATCTTTCAGCATAGTAGGGACTATACGGTTCTGAGAAAAGCCAAGGGAGCCCAGATTTGCCTTTGGGTCTTCTGGGCAGGGCTGAGGGTTGATAACTCCAAGATGAGAACGTCAAAGATAGCTTAAAGGGGATGAGGGTGGTGTGTCAAATCCCCCGGTGTTCGGGTTGAATATTTCCTGTGTAGCAGCACTGCGCTAGAAGGTGTGTGTCTTTGGCTCGGAGTTGGGGAAGATGGGAGCAGGGGTAAGAGGTGCAAAGGAAGCAGAAGCCCTCGTCCTTGCCTATATTTACGCTCATTCTTTGTTCCTTTGCTCCCCAGGTGGAGTATGGCCCCTGTGTGGTAGCTAGTGACTGCTGGAGCCTGCTGCTCGAGTTCCTACAGAGTTTTCTAGGCAGCCACACACCAGGGGCTCCCACAGTGTTTGGCAACAGACATGACACGGTCTACGGCCCAGCAGATACCATGGTCCAGTACATGGAACTCTTCAACAAGATTCGCAAGCAGCAGCAGGTGCCGGTGGCTGGGATTCGTTAGTAAGCTCTGTCACCAGAGGACTCCAGAGGAGGAGCAGGTGCTGCACCCTCAGGTCCCCGAGCCCCAGAAACCCATGGGAGACATGGAGGTTTCTCTCTCCCTCTAGTCCCCAGCTGTGGCTTTTGTTCTGGGGCTCTGGATCGTTCGCCCCTGATCCTCACACACAGTCCCCCTGTTTCACGGCACACCTTACTGGACTTGGCCTGTCCTCAAGAATGGTAACTATGAAGAATGGAGAATCTTGGAGCTTTCCTGCTGTAGGGGACAAGGTAGGACAGGGGTGTCCCTGCCTAGTGTTGGTGGGGAAAGTAGTCTCTTTCCAACTATTGTGGATTTGACCTAGGCCACAGTGGACAGGCTGCATTCTGTGTCGGGGCTGTGCTGTAATAAAGGCTTTTTCTGCTACTCAAAGGATGTTGGCTGTGCCTCTCCTGAAGAAGGAATAGGAGGCCAAGTTGTTTTATGGTTGTCATGTTCTGACCTGTTGGCAGAAATGAATTGTGAGTTGACTTTTCTAGGTTTTGCCTGAGTCCTTTGAAGTCTCTGACTACTTTTAATTCTGTTGTGAATTATGTTAAGCCACAGGCTAAGCTGCTGTAACAAAGGGAACCTAGTAGAAATTTCATTTTCTCGTACAGAGGTAGTCAGATGGTCCAGGGTAGATTTAACTCTACAAGGTCATCAGGAACTTGGTTTCTTTTTATCTTGTTGTTCAGCCACCCTTAGGTTGTTGTCCTTGCCTGCAAGGTCAAAGCAGACTCATCAGCTGCATGTCCACATTCCACTGGGGAAAGAGAGAACAAAGTAGTTTCTTTTTTAAAGGGTACGACCTGGAGTTGCTCCAACCACTATGGCCACACTTTGTTGAAAGGGACACTGGGACATAGAGCCGCTGTTTTGGGTAGTCATGTGCCCAGTCAAAACTCAGGGGGCTCTGTGACTAAAGGATAAATGATAAAGGATCTAGTTAGTGGCCTCTGTTACATGGAGCTCGGTGGGTGTGCCCAGGAATGCTCTTGGCTGTTATTTTGCAGTTAGTACCCCCTGTAACTAAGCTCTTTCTTTATGAATTGGATTGAGACAGGGCTGATGCCAGAGTCCCTTTTGATTTGGATTAGTCCTATCAGGAAGTTAGTTCCAAACCCCTTGCCTAAGTCTCAGCATCCAGCCCTTTCCAGTTCTCATGAACCCAGAGCTTAGTGTTAGAATAATTAACCTGATACTTGCATTGCACTTCACGGTTTTCTGAGCTCTTTCTTCTCGTCTCATTTGAGCCGCCAAGCTTCTCATTTGACTGATACTGCCTGCCCACCCCACTCCTGTTACAGAAATGTTTAGTCAGGCTAATATTGAGATACACAGTTGGGGACGGCCTTAGGAAACGTGTTAGTGTACTTACTGCTGTGCTGTCCTCAAGGATGCTGTCCCTCACCGAAGGCACCTAAAGAGAAATTGTTTTCAGACATGAAGGCCCTACAACAAGAGTCAGATAGTGGTCTTGTTTCCTGTTTAGCTTTGGCTGGCAAGGAGCTCAATTCAACTTTATAACTGCAGGACCTGTCATCTGCATTGTTTTTGTTCTCACTTTCCCCTTGTTTTCTTGTTTATGCTATATTGGAAATGAAATATGTTTTAGATATCATTAACACACAATAAAATGCACAGACCTACGTTTTTGGCCTTCTGATTTATATTTGCTCTTACCCAGATTTATCTATTTGTATTTTTCTGTATGCCGCCTTCAGTCTTATGAGATGAAACAGCATTTTGAACATAACGTGTTCCTGATGATATATGGAAATTGAATGTGGTAAATTTGATTCTAGACTTGTGCATTATAAGGAGTGATTCTGTTCCTAAAACCTAAGAGATAATATACTGTACTTTGTCCCCTAACTGTACTTTGCCTTTTCCCTTTTTTGAGCATACATTTGACCAACTTTAAGTCCAGTGAACACCAGATGACGATTTAAGAACTGCCACTTTAGGTACTTTTGTCTATGTGCATTGTGTCAGTTAAAGAAAGTTTATCACTAAAAAAAGGCAGGTAGTGCAATGCATTTTAACAAATAAGCCTCCACTTGCAAAATTGCCAAAACGGAACTGGTTACTAGCGAGAAGGGCTCAAATGTCATCCAGCTTCTGTGTGCAAGTCTAAGTGAGGCTTTCAAGAGTAGTCTCAGGATTGTCAGTGTATACATTTTTGTAAGTTCAGGTTGAATGAAAGTTGAGCAAATGTATAAATTTAAGGTAAAAGGACATGATTATGCTCATTTTATAAAAGAAAAAAACTTAAACTTGGTTGCTAAATGGAGGTGCCGTATTTTCGGGGTTCAAATGTCATGTTCTTCCTTCTTCCGTAGGCTATCTTCTACCCAGCTTCCTTTGCTTCCAAATGTGTTATCCCTTTCCCTATCTGTAGCTACCCCCAAAAGAGCAGACACTGGGAAATTTCTAGGACCCTGCTAACAAGCCATCTTGGTGTGGGTACCGTTGCGAGAGCCACATAGAAATCTGCCTACCTTGACTGTCAGAGCTACACAGGGCAGCTGTAGGGCTCACCTAGTTGCCTGTCACTGTGAGATGGGGAAGCAGTGGCTTTCAGAGAGGTCATGCCTAGAAACGAGGCTGGAATCAGAACCAGACTTCATACCCAGGCCTCCTAGCTACCAGCATACATTCAAGTCTGGCACCTGGACCTCTGTGTGCCGCCAGGTGATTTAAAATGGAATGTGAAAAAAACATTGTTACATCGGCACTTATGTCTTATTCTAATACATAGCAAAGAAAAATATAATTAGCTCTTTATTCCTTAGGATGAGGGTTTTTGAAAAAGAGTCCATTTAAAGAGCACTGTGAAGTTGTAGTACAGGTAATACCTGGAAATGGCAAAATCTGTGGAGGCAGAAGGTAAATACTGGGACTTGGGAAAACACTGTGTTCTACTCTGTGTCTAGTCCATTTCTTGTATCCATCGATGGTTCCTGCTCTGCCCCTCCTGTGCTGTTCTGATTGACTGTGCCCCTGTTCCTGTGCTGCCTCCTGCTTGCTTTCCTCAGATCTTGAGGACGAAGCAGTCACACTTCCCTGACCGTCTATTGATGTCACTGATCCACCTAGAAACTTACCATTCCTCCCCACCAGTGGGTCTGCCTCAACCCAGTGTGCCCAGTATTCATTCCTGAGGCTTTAGGATGAGGTAGTGAAATTTTTATCTTTAAACCCTGGCAGGTAAGAGGAGTAGTTAGAAATTTAAACTTATCTTCCAGATTTTGAAAGTTGAGGCTTTTAAAGTACAACATGGGAAGTACAACATAGGTGAAATGTTTTGAGGACATTCACAGAAGGTCTAGAGCCACGCAGGACTGGTTTGTGTGGCCTTTCTGTCACCAAGCCCACACCTCTAACTCCCAGTACTGCCTTTCCCTTGCCACAGCCCCCCTCTCCATTTCTGCTGCTGTCTGGGCAACTTGGGCTGCAGACACCGGTTACAGTTGCCATGTGGAATGGCTGAAATCGATTGTATTACAAGTTGGGTCCTCTCGTAGGGGTTGGCGTCTTTGACTTTTGAGCAGTTGTTTCTTGGGGAGGTTGACTTTTCCCAAGGTGAGTTTCTGTCATTGTGTAGAGCATCCCAAATTCAGTCTCTTGAATTAGAGGGGACTCTTTAGTTTGACCATCAGTACTCATATCTTTGTATGATCCCTTCTGGAGGTCTTGCAGCCTGAACTTGACCTCATCCAGGGCAATCTCTTCCCTGTGTATTTCATGCCTTTTCTCATTAACTCTTGAGACAAAAATCAAAACAAAGCATACCTGCCCTTCCCCTCCCAGATTGTGATGAGAGTCTTGTGCTTAATGAGGGGATTTGTTGTTGGTGCTGGAGTATGCAGGAACTATGACTCTAATGTAGGGGTTCTAACATTACCACAGGTTATCAACCCCCGAGGGGAGACTCAAGAGGCTTAAAATACCCTGCAGCTGGACACAGTTTTGTGTATATGCCCAGCTTCTTGGGAATAGGATTTATAGGGTCCACTGGAGTTGTAGCAAAAGATTTGTGATCCAAACAATGAGTCTCTGAAGGGAAATGGCAGGTAGACAAAAATAAAGCAGGCATGAAATATGTCCAGCTGGCTTGTCATGAACAAGACCTTGCCATCCTTTTTGGACACCTTATCTGGGGTTCTCTCCAGGTAATTCCCCCCTTCATTTTTTAGTCCTTCAGACCTTTCATTCAGTTTCTGGGAAGCTGGACTGCATTCTTGCTCTTGTTTTTCCTGTAGGTTCCCCCTTCTCTTGTCTCTTCATACACATACACAGAATCCTTTAGAAATGAGTCAGAGTAAATATATACAAAGCAATCTTCATGGCTTTCTGGTGGCCCCAGAAGTTACTCTTCTATGATGACATACTCCATGAGATCTGAAAATTATCCTGGTGTGGCAGAATTTGGCATGATGAGTATATTTTCATAAGGAGGTGATTGATGAGATAGGAAATATTTCCTACTCTCTGTGATTAAATTAGCAAGCTAAAAAAATTCTTGAAACTATTAGGCAAAGACTCCTAATTCTCTTTTATCCTCCTGATTTGTTTCCCAACACATTCATGCCCCATTGGACGGCATAGACCTGTTTTAAGGTTAGAAATCTTTTGTCGTGTAGGAAAGGCAAAGCCGGGGATTAGAGGTGACAGTTGTTCTGAGGCAGCCTAAAGGGGAAGAGAACACGTGTGAAGAGACAGATGGCAGGTGCTAGCCATAGTACCGTCTCTAACTTGTCCTTCAACTTCATTCAAGTTGGCCTTTCTGGGTCTCATCTGTAAAGTGGGAATAATGATGGTTATTTCATTGGCTTCTGTAGGGGCCCAAGGGAGGATAGATGTGAAGAGTGCTTTGTAGGTAAGGAGATGCTGTCTCTGTTCTGCTCCTGTATCTTTAAAAAAAAAAAGATTTTATTTATTTATTTTTAGAGAGAGGGGATGAGAGGGAGAAAGAGAAGGAGAGAAACATCAATGTATGAGAGATACATCGATCAGTTGCCTCTCACATGCCGCCAACCGGTGACCTGGCTCACAACCCAGGCAGGTACCCTGACTGGGAGTGGAACCAGTGACCTTTCCCGTAGTAGGCCTGCACTCAGTCCACTAAACCACCCCAGCCAGGGCTGTTTTTGCATCTTTTAAGTGGTACTAATGATATTGGTGTTTGGTTAGGATGTTTAAGATGGGAGGTTATGGGGTCATTACTGTTAGCAGGTTAAAATTCTCCAGTGCAAAAAATGTTGTTTTAACAGAGAACAAGCAATGTAGAGAGGGTCCAGAGAACATAGCTGTGGTACAGGGGTTTTTTTTGTAACCAGATTAGTGAACACAGTTGTATGGACTGTCTCTTATTCGTAGGGATGAAATTTTACTTGTTCTCCTATAACCTAAAGGGTATGGGCTTTAAACAAAAAGAAGCGGGGTAGAAAGTGACTATATCTTTTATGTGGAGCACATCCATTCCTGTTTCCCCTCAGCTCTCAAGCCTTTGTTAATGGCTGTCTCTGAACTGTTTTTGTTGTTAATCCCATGTGTATTATGATTGCAGTTGTAACCAGTTGTGTCTTTAAAGAAAGTTCAGTGTTCCTGATTCTATCTTCCATTCCTCATTGATGAACCATCTAAGTTCTTAACTCTGAAGCTACAGTAAAACCTTTTGTTAGCTATCCTGCATAGTATCATATTTGAATTATTGAAAATAGCCTTCTTTTTAATCTTTCTGCTTTCACCTAATACTCAATTCTCAGATGTTTTGGTCTCAAGACTCCTTGGTGCTCTTAAAAATTATTAAGTACCCCAAAGAGCTTTTATTTATGCAGGTTTTATCTATTGACATTTACCTTCATAAAAATTTATAGTGAAAAAGCGAAAGTATTTCATTCATTTAAAGGTAAAAATAAACCTATTACATGTTAACATAAATAAAATGTCTAATGAAAAGTAACTACTTTAAAAAATTTAGTGAGAAGAGTGATCTCGTTTTATATTTTTTGCAAATCCCTTGAGTGTCTGGCGTAATAGAAGAGAGTGAATTCTCATATCTGTTGCTGCATTCAATCTGTTGTTTTGGCTAAAGAATGTGAGGAAAGTCCAACCTCACATAGATGTGTAATTGGAAAAGGGGAGGAGTGTATTAATAATCTTTTCTGATAATTGTGGATAGTCTGTGATACTATATCACAATTCCACTAAAGGTTAGTTGCAATGTGGAATCTCAAACTCAGTGAACTTTATATTCTATTATTATTAACATTCAGCGTTTTACTTTGCACTTTGAAGGGATCTTTTACCAAGGCATGATTTTTGTAGCATCATGTATTGGTCATTTGGAAAATACTACAGATCTTTTGAATGTTGACATACATTTTATCATACAGTATCAAAAAATTGTATTTGTTGATATCACCACCAACCTTATTCCCAAGGAAAGTCTTGGGAAGCTGTTAAGCTTACAGTGGTGGATACAAGTTTTCAAAAATGAAGTTTTTCTTAAGAGCTTGATTTTGATCATTGCTAACAAACGCTTAAGGCTCTCTTTATTTTTGAGAAAATATCTGTCAGAGACCTGAATCACTTGTTTATTTATCTGTTCTTTCAAGTAAAAGTGGTATTCCACGACGAAAGTTGCTAATTCAGCTCAAAATTCAGAGGACTTGCACAAGTTCTTTTCGTTAAGAACACTTTGTA